CTCTCTCTCTCTCTCTCTCTCTCTCTCTCTCTCTCTCTCTCTCTCTCTCTCTCTCTCTCTCTCTCTCTCTCTCTCTCTCTCTCTCTCTGCCCTCATTAGTAATTGGCTGAGTACATTGTGAGGGATGTAACTCTGAGTTCAACAACAATTCGACTTTTTTGAAAGTTTCTAATAACGTATTTCCTCCCCCCAAGCCCCCCAAAAAATTGGCACACCCATGTGACTGTTAATAAACAGCTCATCAGTTCCTATCATGGCTAGTAGGCTACATCATTTTGAAAAGAGATGCACGCAGACATTATAGACGAAATTGTGTCCAGGACGTAAATTTGTACACGTCCTTGTCCAGCAATCCAAAGGCAATCCCCAGGGCACACTTCCAGTATTTTTTTCAGACTTTCACTTCCCAAAAGTCTCTTTTTTAGAAGAAAAAAAAAAGAGGTGCCTTTCGGCGATAAAAATTCAAAATACATTTACAAATTTGGTTGCAAAGCCAAGAAATGTGATTCCTTGCAAACAGCAATGCACAAGCAAGATCAACTGTAGTATCTTCTTCTTCTTTTCTTTTCTTTTTTCATTTTTTTCATTTTTTTTTTTTCAATGTCACTGGGCACTTCTCTATGTCTAATAGATATAGATGACGATTGACATATAGATATATAGACATCCATATTCTCCATGGACTTACCGTTTATGGTACTTCTTGCCCCATTCTCTCGCCTGAGTCCTCTCGGCATCCATCGCCAACTTTCGAATATCTCCTGCATAGTAGCAGCCCTGCAATCCAAAAAGGATTTAGAAAAAAAAAAAAAAAAAAAAAAGTAGCAGCCCTGCGATTATGCCAAGCAATCCACCAGCCATTCTCCTCTCGTAGGTGGTCCCCTGTAAAACGTGCAGCCAGCCGCATGCAGGCCACGCCGCACCGCGTCGGAGAAAAAAATGGCTGTGAACAGTGTGAAGTGTTCTGGTGTACGTTTAACGCTGGGCATCGTGTGTGTAGCTAACTTTCTTGGCTTTCACCGCCTGCCTGTAACTAGTTTTGCGCCCCTCCTCTCCGGTCTCTCTATCCTACCGTGGTCGGCCCATCCAGTACCCATTGCGACAGGACTAGACCCTTTCTTGTGTGCACTGCCGCCAGTTGGAGACTCTTTGCCCACGTACTGATGGGTGCGCACCTGGGATTCCTGCAGCCCAATGTCAAGGGCCACAGAGGATGGGGCTACATCGCCCATGTGGTACGAGGCCTGATCTGTGACACTATTTGGAAGGACAGAAACAGATCCAGGGTTTCAGAGGCGCCCTTTCTCGGTCGTCGAAACAAACCGACACATCAAACAGGAAGGGTTTCAGAGCACGCCATCTGGGTTGAGTGGAGGAGAATGGCAAAGTCCGGGAAGGGAAGCAGAAGCGAAATGCAGTGGTTCATTAGTACGTGGGCAAAGAGTCGCCAAGAGGCAACAGTGCACCCAAGAAAGGGTCTAGTCCTGTCGCAATGGGTGCTGGATGGGACGACCACAGTGGGATATTAGAGACCCGAGAGGAGGGGCGCAAAACTAGCTACAGGCTGGCGGTGAAAGTTTAGCTCGGCTGCCTCGTGGTTCACCTAACCTGGGTACTCGGTGAAGTAGGGCCGCAGTGAACTGTTAGGAGAGTACCAGCGGTAGGACTTGGACTCTGTCCTCTGGGCCGGGTTATCGTCCCAGATGTTAGAATAGGAAGCTAGCCTAGACTGAAGTAAGAGTAAGAGTTTAAAGGTGAATAGCTTCGCAAATGCAGATTTCCTAAGAATTGCGGACGATCCAAATTCAGGTACATCTCCTTCAATTAGGTTGGGAATTCTAGTGGAAGAATTCCTGCAGGCACATGCCTGTAAGCTAAGCTGGCTGATGCTGTCAGTACCCTGGGTTGAATTGTGAGGTCCCCGGCCTCAATTTTATGAGTGATGAATTGATGGTTTGGTGTTAAGGAAAATAAGAAAGAAAGAAAAAAAAAGAAACAGCAGCAGGCGGTCCTTCGGGACATCCGTTAAAATTGGAATGATTCAGAGAAGGTTGATTAGCACGGCCCCTGCGCAAGGATGGGTCTCGCTCCACTACTCTAGACTCGACAACAATCTAGAGTGGGGAATCGCTCCACTTACTCTAGAAATCAGCTCTCTGAATTTCGTTCTAGAGTTGTCAGAAATTACTCAAGAAACCATCTAGAGTAAAGCCTTGCTCCACTTACTCTAGAACGGCTGTCTAGAGAAATGTATTCTAGAGTTGTCAGAGGTACCCACGGTTGCACACTCTAGAACGGTCTAGAGTGCCTGCTAGTTGTATCAATTTGACCCGAAACCGGGTGATCTAGCCATGAGCAGGTTGAAGAGAGTCCTAACGGGCCTTGGAGGACCGAACCCACGTATGTGGCAAAATAAAATGCGCGTATCAAAATTTAAAACTTGTCGACAAATCTTTTCAAGTGTGCTCAGCTGGTCCCTTGCTCCCGCCTGGAAAATCGCGAGTGTGCCTGTACCTCATGTCTGGGCCGACAACCACCTCTACTGTGACAACACAACGCTTGTCTCTTCTCTGTTTCCGAATTAAAAAAAAAAAAAAAAAAACTTCTTCTCATTTATTTCTAGAGTTGGGTCGTCTAGAGTCACGGCCTCGTTCGACACCACTACGTGTAAGGGTTTTCTAGTGGTGTCGAACGAGGCCCTTAGTGGAGCCACAACACCAGATTTGCTCCACTCTAGACTCTGACAACTCTAGACCAACTCTATAAAATTTTCTAGAGTCAAGGGTAGTGGAGCGAGACCCGATGACATGCATAAATCGAGAATTGGTCCAAATCAAACAAACAAACACACACAAAAAAAAAAAAAAAAAACAGCAGCGGCCGATCTTTTTTGTTTTTTTTTTGCCCCCCTTCTTTTGTGGTCTAAGGGCCTCGCCGGACGGTGCAAAAAACGAAACGAAACGACCTTGAAACTCGCGAGGCCTCGCGAAGCTGAAAATCACCGTTTTGTTTCATTTGTTGCACCACCGCCGCATGGCACACGCGAAATCACTCGCGGATACGCCCTGACGAGTGTCGAGGTGCCTGACTTTGGGCCTCGCCACACGGTGCAAGAAACGAAAAAAAAAACGACTTCGTTTCGTGAAGTCGTCGCCACATAGCACCCACACGAACTGTGTCAGAAAAAACTCGTGAATGCTGTCAGCCTCCGAGTTCGCGAGGCCTCACGAGTGTGCCTACTCCTCCCTGCCTGCAGCCCTCGCGAACTTGTAGGTCCTCCGCTGGTAGGCTGGAGGAGCTGCGAAATTTCACGTGTGCTGCATCGCTCCAAACGAAGTCCATCCAAGAACTTGGACCGTAGCGTCCACAAATTTGGACTGTAGTGAAACGAAACCCCCACTCCTGTCGCCAGGGCGTTGTCGCTAGAGTGTTCGTGTGTGCTGTGGGGCGGTGAGGCAAAAAACGAAGCGAAACGGTGGATCAGGGCTTCATGAGGCCTCGCGACTCTGGTGATCGTTTCGTTTCTTTAGTTGTGCCATGCGGCGAGGCCCTTTCGCAAATGCTACTTTTTTTTTGGACCGACATCCCTTGGACGTACGTGCTGCAGCCCTTGGACTGACTTGCTGCACTCGCGAGTATTCGCAGCTCCTCGACCGGCCTCGGGAGGACCTACGACTTCTCGCGCGTTGCAGGCGGGCACGGAAGGGGGCACGTGCGGAGCCTCGCGAATTGCAAGTCTGACACAATTCGCGACTTCCTTCTGACTGTGTTCGTTTCTTCACTGTGCGGCGAAGAGTTCACGAAATGAGTTAGTTTTTTTTCTAGTTTCGTGTACCGTCCGACGAGCCCCTAAAGCACCAGTACGTGGGCACCTGGGCCGCGGGCCTGACACCTCGAATTCTGGAAGCGCGAAAGGAAAACGCGACGGCCGATCCAATTTATAAACGGCAGGCCCAGCGTTCTACGTTTCGGCCTCCGAGTTGTTTTCTTGTGGCGACACGTTTCCGACTGCAAGTCTGGGGCCGTGTACTAGTGGTTTAAGCGAAACAGCGGCTGGCGGTCGACAAATGGAGGTGATTGCTCAGATCTACGGTTCAAATCTATGGCTCTAGCAAGTTCAGATGGAATTGGCCGTGTTCCGCTGCCCACTGCAACATTCAAGACATACCAAGCCATAGATCCATTCAGATCTAAGTTCATCTAACGGTTCTAAGTTCCAGCAAGTGTAGCACTCTGCCGTCTACGGTCAGTGTAGTGTAGTCAGGAACCAATTAGCGGACATGACGAACCATAGGATCACTCAGATCTACAATCGAAAATCGTTCATCCTGCTGAATATACACTCCCCCTCCCTCCCCGCCCCTCCTCCTTTCTTCCCTTTCCCCTTTTTTACGATCTATTCCCCTCCTCCTTCATCCTGAGTCCTGGATAAACATACGACTCACCTGGCCTCGTGCGATGTATTCGTCAAGAGATGGGACATTCTCCCATGCCCAAATCTCAGTCATTCCCTTGCTTGAGTCCTCCTTTCTCTTCTGTGCTGCTGCAAACTCCTCCCTCCTCCTCGACTCGTGTGCATCGCATACTCCACCACCTGGGGTTCTCTCCATAGATCGCGATCGTGAGCACGGCCGCGACCGCGACCGTGATGCGGCGACATGACTATGAAGGGATGAGGCAGTGTTGTTCCCTTCATCTTCGTCCTTGGATCGCAACATCGCCACCATGTCATCACGATGAACCACGTCATCATCACCCTCCCCTCCTTGCCTTCGATCCACGTCATCATCGCACTCTCCTCCTTGCCTTCGATCCATGTCAGCATTGCCCTCTCCTCCTTGCCGCCAGCCCATGTCATCATCGCCCTCTCCTCCTTGTCGCCGACCCATGTCATCATCGCCCTCCCCTCCTTGTCTTCGTCGATCCAATGGCATGAGCGATTCAGCAGCAACCGCCGCACCTGAGAAATCACCTGTTCTGTAGCACTTTGTGCTGTTCCCCTCTTGTCCTCCTCCTGGATGAATCTCTATCAGATTCGCCGCCTCCACTCCTTCTCCATGATCGGTCCTGCCGCCCATCAGTCTATTATCTCCAGCATCATCTTTGCCAGTCGGGATCGGGATCGGCATTTGCTTTACTCCTGCCGATCCCCGTCTCTCTGCAACACAACCTTCTTCCCCACCCCCCACCAACCGCAATGCTTCATTCGTTTGCTTTCCATCCAATGCAGCAGCACCTCCGCTGCCGCTCTCCGCCTGAGCTACTTCCTCTGCTTCTCCATTCTCTCTTCCTTCGTTTTGTGTTTCGCGGCCTTCTTCGCTGCTCTCCAGATTGGATGCCTTCGTGGTGATGATTACCTCCCTTCCCTCACAAGTTGCCCATACCGGCTTCTCCCCCACAGAGGGACTGTGTCTACCCATTTGCATTTGACCCCTCGTTGCTCCATCGCCCCCCTCAATTACCCCAAAGACTTGCATTTCTCTTGGGGGCCTTTCGCCAGCGCAGGGGTTGTGAACCGCTGCATGTCTCTTGGAGGCGTTTCTTGCGCGTTCTGGTGATGCAGCCCCCCCCAGCTTTGGCTCATGCAACCCCCACGCAGCCAAGTCTTCTTCCTGCTTTATCCAGGGCATTCGATCATGCGATAGCTTGAAATTATCGGCGGAAATCCGTGCGAGGCCATACTGCACAGGTACCTCTGCGGCGGATGTCGCAAGCACGCAACTTTCTCCCCCCGGACCGCTCACCAGCTTCATCCGCATTTCCACTGCTTTGTCCCTAGCCTTCACACAAAGACCAATCAAGCATCCAACACACACAATCAACTCATACACCTCTTTTGCTTTTGCTTTTCTTTTCTTTTTGTTTTGTTTTTTTTCCCACAAGGGTCATTCGCCTATAAATAGGCTGCTATGAAGTTTTTTTTTTTTTTTTTTTTCTCATGCTCGGCAGTTTTGGAGTGGATTTGAGTGATTATGGCTGCCCGTGTTCTGCTGAAGTTTTCCACCATGATACGGCGGTACAACCTCCTCATCTTCAACTCTCCACAAACTTTTCTTCCCCTTTTGTAATTGCCTGCAAAATTAAGGTGAAGTTCTGCTGAACTTTTCCATCACGAAATGCCTGTGGCTCTGCACCACCTCCTCATCTTCAACTCTCCACAAAAAACGTTTTATCCACCTGTTGTAATTGTCTGCAAAAGTAAGGTGCTGTTCTCACTATATATATATATTCCTATTAAAAGGCTATAATCCTATTTATTCATTTATTTGTAATATGTTCCTATAATCGGATAATAATTTAATAAAACAAGTTACAGGCGCGCCGCGGCGATGCGGGGCGCTGGCATGTGGGAGAGAGAGAGAGAGAGAGAGAGAGAGAGAGAGAGAGAGAGTCTTTTGTTCTAGCGGACGACTCAATCTGGTTTTGCTCATCCTATCGATCGATGTAGCCTCTCTCTATCTCTCTGCGTGCATGGCTGGACCTCTCTCTCTCTCTCTCTCTCTCTCTCTCTCTCTCTCTCTCTCTCTCTCTC